AGATTTTCGTCTTCAATTTTTCTTTGATAAAGTGTCGGTCAATCTCCATATGTTTAGTCCTATCATGATGCAAAGGATTATGAACGATGCTAATGGGGCTTTGTTATCACAATGCGTCATAGGACTCCTCATGGAAATTTCAAGCTCTTCCAGGAGTAATTTTAGCCAAACTAATTCACTTACACCATTTGCCATAGATCTAAGCTTCGCTTCTACAGTGCATCGGGCAACTATATTTTTCATTTTACACTTCCATGTTACTAAGTTTCCGTAGACATATGAACAATATCCTGATATAGATCTCCTGTCAACAAAGGATCATCCCAATCTGCATCAGTGTAGACTTCAACATCATGAGGTTCTCCCTTTTTAAAAGAATAATCCTCTTTCAGCACTTTCGTTTAAATACTTCGATATTCTAAAGATAGCTTTTAAGTGTTCTTCATAGGGAGCATGCTTATGACTAACCATGTTGACACATAAAGCAATTTCTGGTCTAGTGTGAGATAAGTAAATAAATTGGCCAACAAGGCTTTGTTATCTACCCTTGTCCATGAGAGTGCTATTAATTTGATTTCTGAGTTTCAAATTCAGATTTGCTAGGGTGTCCACTGGTTTGCACCTAAGTAAACCTATCTCCTTCGAAAGATCTAGGATTATTTTCTTTGTGATACAGAAATACCAGATCCATTTCTAGCAATTTCCATACCTAAGAAATACCTTAAAGTTCCCAAATCTTTGATTTCAAATTCATCAGCTAGCTTCTTCTTTAGAGAATCGATTTCTGAAATGTTGCCACCAGTCGTAATAATGTCATCAACACATACAATTAGTATAGTTGACTTACCATTCTCATGCTTGTAGAAAAGAATGTAGGTAGCATGTGTTTGCTTGTAACCTATCTGAAGGATAGCCTTGGAGAATCTCTCAAGCATGCTCTTGGTGACTTTTTAAAGCTATAGAGGGACTACCTGGAGGTAGTGGTGTCAACGAGCCGAAACTCGAGGCTCGAGCTTGACTTGAGTAAAATGGTTCGAGCTATTTTGCTATCCTGAGCGAGTCGTGTAGGCTCGAATTTATTATTATTATTATTAT